ATGAAAGAGCATAAAAGTTGAATGTAGACCAGTCTGATGAGAAAAAGTAGTATTACAACCTTAAACTGAATGCAAGACAAAGTTGTATTACAACCTTAAAATGGAGGCAAAGCTGCCAACAGTACAGAATGTAGATGCAATAACGTTTATTGACATCAAACACTTAGAAAGCAAAGCCGCAAAACAACACAGAATGTAGACATAAACAAAGTTTATTTACATCAGGCAGTTGCTCCTTGTTAGGCATAACGCTTGAGATATGATCCTGCAACATGCATATGCCCTTGAAGATGACGAGCGTGATTATCCCAATTCCAAGTGATTTCAAGGGAGCTCAGGCCTGAGGCCGGACACGACTACAAACATTAGAACAATGCATCCCAAGAACTTCTAGCAAATCTCATGAAAGAGTATATCATTTGGCAGTAGAATTTACCGTGTCAAGACCGAAACGTCTTTTTAAGGCTGCTAAAAGCTCGTTTTGATCATATTTTGTCGCTTTGTAAGCCTCGATCTTGTTAACTTCCTGTAAAAGTAAATGAAGTAGGTAGTAATCAACTTAAGCGCTTCCAGTCCCAACAGACTGCAATGAGCTCTGGAACATGTACTCTTTTCTTAACCCAAGTGATGCGTCGAAAGCAGTGCAGATATTAGATTCAGATCGATGATACCACATCACTATGGAATTTATGAATAAAAGTGGCAGATTACTGTGTCCAAAGATGCCTCAATTGCTCTATCAGACCAAGTCATTTCAATTGGTGCCCACTTGGGAGGATCATTAAGAATTGAAGGACTTGATGACAAACGATATCTGCACTTAAATGGCACTTCCAGTTTCTTTCTGACTATTCTCTACATGATTTTGCATGGGGAACTACTAGTAAGTTCTGTCAGTACCTCAATCCATGCTGCCAGTTTTGGCCTGCCCTCTGTAATATCATACTTCTTCACGTCCAGCAGGAAGGGTTGGAACCTTTCAACAAATGGAGCATAAGCTACATCCACCTGAGTTTGCAAAGGGAAAAGGATGAATCAACCTATCATTCTTCAAGATAACATGAGTACAACTGATAGTGAATCCAAATACCATTGTAATTTCTTTTTTTTTTAATATCCCTTTCGTAATGCTTGACAGAAGAACTTCATTTAAACAAGGTATATGTGAACAAATAGAACTCCCAACTTTTTGCACTTACCAGACTGAAAGTTTCAAGGAAAAAAGGACCATCATCGAATTTGCCAAGGGCATTCTCAAGGTAATCAAAAGCAGAACCTAATCAAATCACACACTTCAGTATCAACTTTTACAGGAATTAGTAGCCAAAAGCCATGAACACTCAACTTACCAACTTCACCAATTCCATCTGCTCTGATAGAAGAAAATACAGCTCCATTAAAGGAGTCGGAGTAGGACAACAACTCTTCTGCAAACTCTCTCTTAGCAGGGTCCTACATATTTAGTCAGAGAACTCAAATAAAAACACAAGCTATCACAGAATGCAGACTAAAAGCAGCCAACTTAGCTCACCGAAATTTAACAGATAAATGTAATGAATCTTACCTCAGGAAGAAGTGAAGGACCTTCAAACTTTTCATCCAGATATCTGATTAGATCGAGAGACTCTCCTTTTACTTCATTATTATGTACCAGAGACGGCACCTGCTTGACAGTGGAGCATTGGAAAAGCCCAACAGAGTACAAACTAAATTCACATGCAATGCAATATGATTTGCTGTTGAAATTTGACTTTCATCTCAACTTCAAATCATGCCTTGTACGTTTTGTTATCAAGAAATTTCTTGGTATCATATTTCGTTGATATTATTTGTCAACCAATTAAGATTTCCAGGCCTGACGCAAGCAGACATATGTTCTTCAAGCAGTAAATAATTCTTGCCGAGTTTTTCTGAACATTTAGCATGATTTTGGTATAGCTATACTCTATAGTTAGTATCAAAGACCTCATGCAGCATAGCGCAATTAAATATTCAACCTTGTTTGCTGGGTAAACTTTCTCCTTATACCAGGCTGGCCTATTATCAAGGTCAACAGCAATCACTTTTATCTTATCTTGCAATCCCTGCTCCATAAAAGAATATAAACACAAATCAGGAAATTCACAAAGGTGATAGATTAGATCAAGCAGAATCACCAGGGTCCAGAAGAACTCCCCAACAAACCTTGCAATTCCTTGTGATCCACACACGTTGTGCAAACGGGCATACGTAAGCTATGAACAACCTAAAATCAAGACATGAAACATCTCTGAGTTTCAAATTATTACTGTATAATTCCATGTTGTCATCCGAAGATAGTTTTGCCAGGTTCTTCCCTTGCTTGAGCCTTTGTATATGTGCTTCTAATGCAGGCAAATGATTCCTAGTTCAAAAATTATGTAAGTTCTTCTGTTGCTCAGCAAAATGGGTATTATTTGTTGTAGATTAGGATTACTTTGAATAATAAGTAGCAGCTGACTTTCGTGCACAACAAAGTTGCAGGTTCATTTAGGCTATGACTATGAGCACTCCAAAATCCTCCTCCACATTATCCCACACTGGAAACTGAAATGATTTTTGATCATCTGATAAGCACCAAAACCACCAAGTCGATCGCCGGGCCTGGTAAAGGAGGCCTGTAACCCAAGTGGAGGCATTGGAGTGTTAGAACATGAGCACAGCCCAGACGGTGGGGTTTAGGGCTGCTCCTTGCTGGTCTGCCCGGTCCAAGCTAGGAGTTGGGCCATTTGATCTGGGCGAAGGCTTGGATCATGTGGTCTTTAGAGAGGTGGGGACTGCGTGAGGCTGGTTTCACAGAGCAACGAAGACCACCCGCTCTTCGCAGTGGATGGATAACAGATCGGTGCTCTCTGAGCCCAGAAATGCTAGATGGGCTGTCTCTAACTGGACCAACACTCTTTTTGAAAATTTTCTCTGCGAAGTCCCCACATTCTTTTTGCCCTTTTTTTTTTATAAATATTTTCAAATTTTTCTAATTTGTGTGAAGTCCCAAAATATTCGATCGGCTATGCGGGAAAATACATATATTATTGAATATCTACTGGTTTGCTAAAAGGGAAGCAAGAATTGAAGATCACTAATTAAAGTATAATTCAAGCTACAAATTGTTTGGAAAGCAATTTTTCAAAGAAAAATTGTTACGTTTTTCATGAACGCATTTTTCAATCACCTTTTTATCTCATATATAAATCAAAATACAATCCGAACAATTGCAGCAAAGTTGCAATTATAAGCTCCATTTTGCAATTGGTCAAATAAATCAAAGCCTTATCATCACCAAATCTAGACAAAATTGCACAAAACAAAAGCTTCTGATACTCGTTAAGAGGCTTGATAGGTTCATACAGTGAAAGACAATCAGTTTCAGTCTAAAAAAAAAGGACCAAATATAGGATATCACTCCTTACCACCTGTTACTGTATAAAATTATAGTAAACGATGAAACAGGATTCAGGAGAATTGTACATGCTTCAGCAGCACTTCAAGAGTAGCATTAATTAGCTCGTAGTTTATCTGAAAAGTTCTGTATAGCTGCAAAAGTTTGTGAAAGCTGAAAGATCGAGTAAAACACTTGACTGAAAAGACTAGACAAGAAAAATAAACTTCACAAAATCAGCTGCTATGCATCTAGCACTAAAGATAATTGGCTGTACTTAATAAATCGACTAAAATGGACTTGACAAGAAAAGTTTATGGGCTTCCACTTGACTAGAAGTCTAGGTTCAAACTTCGAAGCTCAATCGTAAGTAACGGTCTGGTGAAAAATGCAGGTTTCTACACTCTGCTCTTGAGACATCTCCCTGAACGGCGTACAGATCATGCTCTCCTACCACAGATGTTTACTCGTTCCCTGTTGCAGGAGTTCTATTGTAAGGATTGAATAAGAGAATTGCCAAGTGTTATCATATTTTCTGCTGGATTTGGGGAAGATGTCCATTCATATTGTGGATAGAACTGGAAGACATCTGATGTCCGAGCCAAAGATTGAATTTAGTTTGGCTTGGATGCGTTGGATCTCGATTTCAAGCAAATTACCTATCTGAGAACACGTGTTTAAGTCCTACAAGTTAAATTGCTTGACATGGTTTTACCGATTGCATTAACCAAGTTTACTCCCCTTTTTCATTTCTATAAACTTTTACCAGGCTATTCTGACATGCATTTCCAAAAGAGAAGTGTGAGCTCCCTGAACTTTGAAAGAAATTGGTCATGCAGGCTGCCACGGTTGAAACCAGATATGCTATTTGTGGATCTTCACGAGTTAATAAAAATTTAAGAATGGCTGAAAATGTCAGAATTTTTTTTGGGTAATCCTAGAATTGGCCAATGCAAGATTAATTGAGTCGCTCTAGAAAGCAATTCATTGTGGCGGTCTTCGGTGAATCCATACTATAATGGACAAAGAGTAAAGACAAAAGAGGAACTTGTCCGCTTGTTTCTTGTGCCAATTCAGGGGTTCATTTGTAGAGATAAACTGCATTAATCTTAAAACTTTTTTGATTATTTTACACTTGAAATAATGTTGAGGAATATTATTGTTTGATAAAGATGATGATCAGATGAAACATTATTAGAACGATACCTCTATGAACAAGGTTTCCTACAAATGCATGCTTACTATTTCTGCACTGTAAACTATTGTCATCACAAATTCCGAATTAAAGATAATATATACAAAAACATTTGGACACGCACATTCGGTTTGTGCTGTCAAAGACAACCAGTGATCAGCATGTGCTCCACTCCAAACATGAAGCTGTCACAGGAAACTTCTACTGATGAAGTTTACATGATAGGGCCTCTCGATGCCACACTTGTCGTGCTGAAAAAAGGTACCGGACGCACATATAATCCCAACCACAAAGGAAATGGAAGAAAAAGTTACACTACACTACTAATTAAATTACTAATACGACCTAGCACTACTACTATATTTAAGTTGCAGCAGGATCGATCTCCTGCATCTATTGAAATCTTGAGAACATGGCTCTAAAATTAAACCTTTTCCTCTACATTCTCTCAATCGCCATTTTCGCAGAAATGGCTGCTGGAGTCGACCTCTTTAAGCCCGTCGACCACGTTTGCGGCTTTCCAGATAACAGGAACTTTACTAGCGGCAGCGAGTATGAAAACAACTTGAACTTCATCTTACACGATCTTTCCAACAAAACTCCCGCAACCGGGTTCGGTCTTGCATATGCCGGGGGGGTGGAAAACAGTAACAGGGCTTATGGCCGAGCTCAATGTAGAGCGGACGTTTCAACAGCAGACTGCAAAACCTGCATTTCTGAAATGGTCAGATGGGTTCGGGGGAAATGTCCATTTTATAAATCCGCATTTGCTTGGTTCCAGGGTTGTCTTTTGAGATACTCGGACGATGATTTCTTTGGCAAGATTGATGATCCCAACTCGCTGGCATTCTTCATCTTGGAAAAAGAAAATCTAAGCAACATTGCACCCTTAGAAAAGGTGGAGGGATTGTTAAATCAACTTGCAGGAGAAGCTTCCGCGTCTAAGGAGTTGTTTGCCAGAGGAGAGGTGAAGCTTGCAGGATCGAAAAATCTATATGGTTTGGTTCAATGCACCTTGGACCTTTCCCCAGCAGATTGTAAGACTTGCGTTGATGGATTGGTTAGTATAGTTCCTAAAATTTATGGGAACGGGACTCAGATCTACACGTCAACTTGCACCCTACAATATTTGTTGTATGCTTTCTTCAATGCTTAAAATGCAAAGGTGGCTATGCTAGCTTCTGCAATATTCTACGTTGGAATTGAAGATATTTAACATCGTTCAGGTGTTAGAAGAATGTGTGCTGTTGATCAGTTATGGTTGTCCGAGTTGTGATTCCAATTTGTTGCCTTTTGATTTTCAACTTTGTTGAAGTTATATAAATTTGGTAGGAATACCTAGATTTCCTAATTCTTCTCCGAGGAGAATCGCCTATCACATTAAGTGATATTTTTACGCATGTAGCTTTTGATCAGCAGTAAGTATAGCTTGCTTATCTTGGGTCCTTTTTGTTTGTATATTTTCTTTTGGCTAAATGGTCCAAAACTTATTTCATAAAATGCCTAAGAGAAAATGGTATTAAAACAAAAAAGAGAGAGAGAAACAAACATGGTTGGAAGTTCAGTAGAAAAGAAAAGAAATGCAATGGGTTAGGTGCAACGACAGGGGTTGGGGCGGGGAAGAGGGGAGGGTTCCTAGTCCCATTCCCGGTCCATTGCCATCTCTAATTGAATATCATGTTTGCCCGAAAAAATCCTGTGCTTTTGTACAGTGATAATAATTTAGGAGTGAACGAAATAGACAGAGAAGTGTTACAATTTGCTCCAAAACTTTTGTAAACATAGTTGAGTTACTAATTAGTTATTTGGATGAATGAAAGTTATTAAGAAATAAAAAGGCAACACTTAAAAAGAGATTGAAGGACTCTTTCATAAAAAAAAAAGTCATGTATTCAAATTCCATTACGTAAGTTAGGACTGCTTTAGTGAGTAATTTATAAATATTCTCAAAGATTTGTAATTCTGGAGATGTCCCCATCTCTATCGCTAGTGGTGATCGGAGTGGAAACCGCCTAAAATTGATCTCTATCAAAAGAAGAGAGAAATGAAAAGCAAGACTTGATGTCAACACTAAACTAACTAATGCAGACACTAACACAATGACATATACAAACACAACAAAATTTGTCACTCGTTAAAATTTGTGCCTACAAATTCAATCCCAACCATCATATTATAAGTCACTTTGTCTGCACTACACACTGTTCTGTTCAGCCACTACTGCAACTACAAAAGATCTGGACCCATAATGGAGTATGTCCTAAATAGTTAGTCCTACTTCAGGTGATAAATAACTTTGAGATTTTTAGTCGAGTTGTTAGGGCCTGGCAATAATTGACGCCCCCATCTGTGAACTCAAATGTTTATAATTGTTGCTAGGCTAATTATTAGAGAAAGCTTGATTGGATGACGGGTTAGTTTTTTTGCCTATCTTCCTCGAATTGTTTTGTCTTACTTAGCCAAAACAATAAACAAAGAGATATAGATGCTCAAGGCCGTCCGGGACGAACACTAGTGAATCTATCTACAAAGCTCCAAGATCAGAGACGAAGCTGTGCACAAAGAAGTAACATCGCCTGCGACAGACTTGATCCAACTATTTTGTCCGACAAATTGTCCTAGAAGCAAAGAAATATGTATAAGAAAAACACAGAAATTCCTCGTGCCAAACATATTTGGATGTGAAAAATAATTGCTGAAATAACTGCTATATAGACGCTGAACTAAGTCTAGGTAGACCACAATAATTGCCTTCATTTCTAATATCCTTCTTTCAACCATGGCTTCGTCAAAATTAACCATTTCCCGCTGCATTCTTTACATTGCCATTTTTGTAGAAAGGGCCGCTGCGGTCGACCTTGTTGAGCTTCTGGCCGTTGATTGCAGACCATCGAACAATTTTACCGCCGGGAGTAAATACCAAAACGAGTTGAACATTGTCCTGAATTATCTTCAGAGAGCAACTCCTGCAACAGGGTTCGCTTTTGAATACGTTGGGGAAGCAAAAACTGGTAGTGGGATATATGGCCGAGCCCTCTGTAGAGGAGACATTTCAGCTACGGAATGCAAAACCTGTATTGATGCAGCTATCACGGAGCTTCGCCAAAACTGTACTTTCAGGAAAGTAGCAGGTGCTTGGTATGAAGGCTGTTTTGTGAAGTACAGCAACCAGGACATATACAGCAAACTTGATCGCGGAAGGTACTACGTTTGGAGAGAGCAGAATGTAAGCAGCCCTGCTTCAGCAAAAATGGTGGTCGAGTTTTTGAATCATCTGTCGGATAAAGCTGTCACTTCTCCAAAGCTGTTTTCGAAAGGAGAAGTTAAGGTCACACAATCATCAGAAACTCTGTACGGGTTGGTTCAGTGTGCTTTGGATATTTCCGCGGCTGATTGCAAGACTTGCTTTAGTGAGCTGATGTGCTTTTTTTTTTTTCTCAAACGGTATTCTTGTTATACATATATGAACTTGATAATACAAGATTTTAGTTACATAAAGGGACATTAGTCCTATTATCCTCCTGTATACTCTCTTTGAGCCACAGGGGGAAACTTTGTTTCCAAATTACCTTGGAAACAAGTTTAGTTGCAAATTGTGCCATTTTATGAGCACTTCTATTTCCATCTCTATACACAAAAGAAAAGGTACAGTCCTGGAACAGGTCACTCAGATGTCTAATATCTTCTATGATCGTGCCAATTGGTGTTTCACCCAAGCCTGTCTTGCATATTGTCTCAATGGCGGCTTTGCAATCAGTTTGCATTTCAATTCTTCGCCAGCCAGCTTCTCTAGCCATTAGCAAGCCTTGTCGAAGAGCATCTGCCTCTTCCATTTCCGCACCTGCGCTGCTATACTTCCTGATGCCTCTTGCTTGGACAATGTTTCCCTCACAATCTCTCGCAATCATTCCTAATCCAGCTCCTGCTGAATTAGTAGGAATCGCAGCATCAGTGTTTATCTTCATTACCCCTGCGTCTGGTGGTCTCCATTGGTGGTTATTCATATGGTGACTTGTTCCTGTCCTGTGCTTTTTGTCATTTTCCACCTGCTCCTCTTGAAACTCCAGCCATTCGTTCCTTGCAGTTTCTAGTAAGGTCATGTGCTCTCCACGTTTCCCTTCAAACTGTCGAGCATTCCTTGCCTTCCAAATTTGCCAGATGATGTTTGCTGTTAGGGTGATGTGGTCTTCACCTCTTTGCCTGCTCCTTGCCTCTAATATACCTTCCCACCATCTCCAGAAATTTGATCTCCATTGCAATAATCCGTCCCATTGTATTGGGGCCAGCTTCCATATAGGTTCAGCATTATTGCAAAAGAAAATCATGTGTTCCACTGTTTCTTCCCCTTCCCCACAGCATTTGCATAATGGCGAGCCTCTTCCTGTTCTTTTGTGTATCAACACGTTTACAGGAATGCTGTTGTGTAGGCATCTCCATATGAAATGTTTTATCTTTGGCTTCATCTTTAATCCCCACAAGCTCTTCCACACTTTGCCTTTATGCTGTGCGTAGCTGGTTCCTTCCTCTCCATGAATTTCCTTGTTTCTTTCATTGACCTCTTCCTTTTCTACTGCATATCCCGACTTCACAGTGTAATTTCCTGATTTTGAGTATTTCCAATAGACCGCATCCTTTCTAGGAAACAAACTTAATGGCACCTGTAATATTTGTGAGGTTTCCTGCTCTGAGAATGTCTCCTCAATCAGCTTCTTATTCCATTCCCTCTCTATCAGCAAGTCTGCCACAGTTTGCAAGTTACAATCTGGAGGTTTCTGGGTTGCTATTCTCCCATTTGGTGCTGCCATGATCCACTTATCCCTCCATATGTTGATAGTAGTCCCATCTCCCACTCTCTTCCACATTCCTTTTTGTAGCACCAGTCCAGAGCTGTATATACTTTTCCACACCCATGATGCATTCTTCGGAGCTGCTCCATCCCAGTCTGTTTGCACTATTTTATACTTTGCTCCTAGCACTCTGCTCACTAATAAGTTTGGTTGCATCAATATCCTCCAGAGTTGCTTTGCTAACAAAGCACTATTAAAGTGTTCTAGATCTCTAAAGCCCAGACCCCCATTTCCCTTCACCTGTGTAATTTTCTCCAAACTTACCCACTGCATCTTCCTATCCCCTTCATTTTGGCCTCTCCAAAATTTTGCCATTTGACCACAGATTTCATTACAAAGTCCTTTAGGCAACCTACAGCATGACATTGTGTAATTTGGTAAAGCCATTACGACTGACTTAAGTAGTACCTCCTTTCCTGCATGGCTGAGTAGGTTGTGCTTCCATCCCTGCATTCTGGATTTTGCTTTATCAACAATGTAGGCGAAAACTTGCTTTTTTGATGCTGTTATCACCAGGGGAAGTCCCAAGTATTTGCCATTGTTTGCCTCCCTGATGTTGTTCATCTTTTCACATGTCTGTCTCCTATGCTGTCTGCTACAATTTCTGCTAAAGAAAGCAGCAGATTTGTCATAGTTTATGCACTGTCCTGAGGCTAATTCATATTTTGCAAGAATCCTTTGCATGGCTCTAGCTTCCTGTGGGTGCGCTTTACAACAAAATAAAGAGTCATCAGCAAAGAATAAGTGAGATAGCACTGGTCCATTTCTACTCAGTTTGAGGCCTGTAATCTGCCTATCTTCAATAGCCCTTGCCATGAGATTAGACAGCCCTTCCGAGCAAAACAAGAAAAGATAGGGGGATAAGGGATCCCCCTGTCTAATACCCCTACTAGGTTTCACATACCCCACCCTTTCCCCATTAATGTTGAAAGAATATGACACAGAGGACATACAACTCATAATCCATCTTACAAAAATAGGACAGAACCCCATTTTTAACATCATTCTGCCCACAAATTTCCATTCCACCCGGTCATAAGCCTTTGCCATGTCAAGCTTTAAGGTCATAAAAGCAGTATTACCCTTTCTTTTGCTTTTTAAAAAATGCATGATTTCATGGGCCAAAATGATGTTGTCAACAATCTGTCTTCCAGGAACGAAGGCAGATTGAGAAGAGCTAATGCACAAAGCGATAACTTTTTTCAGTCTGTTGGCCAAAATTTTTGCTAAGATTCTATAAAGTACATTACAGAGGCTGATAGGCCTATAGTTTGCCAGATCTATAGGGTTTTCAACCTTTGGAATGAGGGTTATGCTAGTCTCATTTATACTCTTTAAAAGGTGGCCATGGCTCAGAAAGCTTTGAATAGCAGACACCACATCTGTTTTAATATCATTCCAGTATCTTTGAAAAAATAAGGGTGTCATACCATCAGGTCCAGGTGCTTTATTTGGGTGCATGGAGAACACAGCTACTCTCACCTCAGCTTCCTCCACAGGTTGTATCAAAGTCTGATTTAATCTGCTAGTAATTGATACAGGCACCCCTTCCAACACTTCTTCCATGTCTCGTGGCTGAGATGTGGTGTATAGGTCCTCATAGTACCTGCAAATCTCCTGGATGATTTGTTGATTATCTGAACACCATTCTCCATTTCCTTTCTGCAAACTTGTTATCTGATTCCGTTTCCTTCTTGTCTTCACACAAGCATGAAAATAGGCTGTATTCTTGTCCCCTTCCTTTAGCCATTTGCTCCTTGCCTTTTGAGCCCAGAAAATTTCCTCAGCTTTATAGGCACTACTCAACTTTAGTTTCAATTCAGCCATTTTCCTACTTTTCCCTTGAACAGCAGAATCTTTTAGCTCTTGTATCTTCCTTTTAATCTCATTAATCTGTATAGCTGCATTTTTTTTATTCAGTCTATTCCAACTTAGAAGAGCTATCCGACACTCTCTAATTTTCCTAGTAATCTTGAACATTTTTGATCCCACCTGTGGTCTTGCCCAGGCCTGCCTCACTACCCCTTCTGCTTCTTGGCTCTGCGCCCAGACTTGGTCGAATACAAACCTTTTCTTCATTTTCTTTTGAGCAGGTATAGTATACAGCACCAGCATTGAGTGGTCTGAAGCCTCATTTTCCACATGTTTGCAGGTTGCATTCCCAAAGATTTGGAACCACTCTGTGCTACTCAGACATCTATCCAGCCTTTGCTTAATCTCTCCCCCATTCTCCCATTGGTTACACCATGTCCATGGGTTGCCTTCGAAATGTATGTCTACCAGTGAGCTGATGTGCTTGGTTCCTCAGTTCAGTGGGAAAGGAGGCCAATTCTTTAGTGCTACTTGTACTTTGCATTACGAGTTTTTGCCTTTTTTCTAAGCTTGTTAAATCCAATACCCGAGCGGAGTGCTACTGTTTTCGGTTCTTCTCCTCATCTCCATTAGAAAAGTGGGAATAAAGGAGAAGTAATGTGTTAGAAGCAATATTGTGTGTCTAAGTCAGGAGTACTTGTCCAACTCTCCTAAGTCATGTTTCTCAGATGCTATGGGATATGTTTGAACTTTCAAGTGTAATGGGATATGTAAAATAACTCATACGGGAGCTACATATGGACAGTGGACTATAACTGGTTATTCATTCATACTTGACTAGTTAACTAAGAATTTGGTTCCCGTTTCATGATGCACCTGTTTTCAGGTTAAGATTAAAACATACTTCACTTTATTTGATGAGCAAAAATATGATCCAAACAGTTGAACAATTCAACTAAGTATCAACTAAATATGATGCAAAAAGATATTAGCTTCACAAAATTTCCCTTGAACGCTATGGGCTAATATGCGGAGGATACTTTTCTCTAACTTGTAATCTTGTATTTTTGCTTTTTGCAAGGATTAATTTTTGTTACACTTCATGTCGTGCATCCAACATTTAGAAACAAATAATAATAAAAGTATAGGTAATAGGTAATACTTTGGATGGTGAGCTACTAATAATTTGACTTAAATACTTCTCCCTCTCTAGTAGTTTATGTCCAAAAATTATTGGGTCACCCACAAACTAATAGTGGTACAGTTGATATCAAAATGAATATCTATATTCTATATATAATGAGAAAGGACAGAGTTTGGTGCTAATGTTTTATGTCACTTTACGTACTTACATTTTTGCCCTTATAAAAGCTAATTTTACTTTAATTATTCAAACACATGGTGTCAAGATAACTACTACTCTAAGCATTATTTAATTTATCATTTAAACACATTTTTTTTTCAATGTAACTACCCTAAGCAATAACTACCAACATCACAATAATTTTGTCAAAATAATTTACAAGATTAAAATTTTATTTAACAATGAACAAATGTATGTAAAATTCATTCACTATAAATATTATGTATTTTTTTTATTGCACACACATAGGCTATTAGGTCCCGACTTGAGTAGTTTAGGCTTAAAAGCTATTGGGCGATCCCACACTAACACTTTGGGGTTAATGACATCAAAAGTTATTGGTTCAACTAGGGGTGTCAACGGGTCGGGTTTGGATCCGGGCCCGATAAAATTTTTTTGAGTTTGGATTGAAAAATAATTTCGATACTCGAACCCAGATCTGGACCCATTTACTCTAACAAAAAAAAGGAGTCAGATATGGGATATAGAATTCTGACCCGTATTCGACCCGGATCCGAATAATATATTAATAATTATAAAATGCAAATATTTCTAAATATATTCTTTTATCAAATTAACAATTTAGTAATGACTTTATAGATTGATTTGTGGTTAATTTTGGATTGACTATTACAAGTTATTTGTGATTTATTTTTGTAATTTGATGGGTTTAAATTTGGAGATTGGATTTGTAATTGTTTTTGGATTTAATTTTGAACCCTTTAGACCCGGACCCGACATGAATTCGACTCAGATCCGTCGGACCCGATTCTGGAACTCTAAGATCAAGACCCGTCGGGTATACGGGTCCGGTTCGGGTCCAAAATTTTCATTTCTGACTCGAACCCGACCCATTGACACCCCTAGGTCCAACCGATCCTAATTTAAACATTTTGGGTTTGTAGTTTATGGCAAATATTGGATTAGCACGCGATATTGATAGCTTGGTTTAAACATTATGGGTCAAAAGTTTAGGCCCAGTCGTCATTGCCTAACCTATGTCCTAAGCATTACACATTGACGGTGTATAAATTCTGTTAAAAATGGTAATAATATATATACTGATAGTATATATAAAATTAATGTTTTTTTATCTACATATCGCGTTTATTATAGGCAACTTGTTTAAAGTTTTCTACGTTAATTATGTAGAAGAATGGTACATATCTCAAATTTTGCCTTATAGTACAAGATTGGTTTTATTATGAACCCCTCAAAATATTACCCATAATTGTTGAAGGCTCGTACTAACCAATTCATCAGAACTACCAACCCATCAATTTATTTGATAGGCAGGCTTAGCTATTATAATGCGCATAGAAATTCAGATTAAAAAACATATTAGAGTTCACATCCAAGGGCAATTAATTTTAAGCAGCACAATAATTGTTTCTATAGTGTAGAGAGGTTTGATCGGCTGGTTCCATCAAGGACAACCATTAATGAGCATCTGCCAAGCTCCAACAAGGAAACTGTCACAGAGAAATTACATGGTGTGCGACAAACAAGCAAAAGGAACAAAGCACATGAATAAATCAAATCATTAGGCTAGCAAATTAATTATTTTATTGGATAAGACAAGTTAAATAATTTGATGGATATTAAGATAATTAAAATTATTCCAGAGGTTGAGCAGCATCCTATATAACTGCAGCAAAAATGATTTTAAGAAGAGCACGACTTGCTCTAATTAATCTCCAATCCAATCCATTTTCCAGCCAGCAATGGCGCTCTCAAAATTAACCATTTCCATATATTTTCTGTCCGTCGTCCTTTTTGTGCAAATGGGCGCTGGAGATGACCCTCTCCAGCTTCTTGGAATTGATTGCAGAAAATCAAACTACTTCCCCGCCGGCGCTGGGAGTAGATACCACAAGAACTTGAACATTCTCTTGAGTCGTCTTCAGAGTAGAACCCCTGAAACAGGGTTCGCTCTTGAATACGTGGATTTTCGAAACAGCATTCTGTCGACGTGATATTTCGAGTGTAGATTGCAGAGCCTGCATTGGCGCTGCAATTGCATGGATTTTCGAAAAATGTCCATTAAAGAAGCGCGCAGTTGCCCTGTATGAATGTTGCGTTCTGATTTACACGCACAAAAATATTTTCCACAAAATCGGCGACACCACCTACTACATTTACAGAACTCAAAATGTAACCAGCCCGGCATCAGCAGAAACTATAACTGAGTTTCTGGATCATCTGACAGTAGAGGCTATTGCAACCAAAACTTACTTTGCTAAAGGAGAAGTTAAGCTTGCAAAATCAGAAAGTACACTCTATGGACTGGTTCAGTGTGCCTCGGATATTTCTCCAGCTGATTGCAAGACTTGCATGGGTGAGTTGATGGCCCGGATTCCTGACTATACTGGGAAAGGAGGTCAATTCCTCAGTGCTACTTGCACCTTGCAGTACGAGTTCTATAGGTTCTTCAATGCTTAAGGCAAATTGGGAGGCTATGCTTCTCTAAACAAATAAAAGGTCCAAATCAAACACTGCTTTAGGTGTTGTTAAAAGCGACCGACACCTGTGACTAAAATTACGTCTCCAAAACAATGTACTATTTGCTTAATGCTATATGCTATGTTTCAACTTTCAAGTTCAACGAAATATTATGTCAGATAATTAATTGTTAATCAGAGTTGCATTATGAAATTAGCTTCTAATTATTTCCAAAACAGATGCCGGCATTACATTAAGTGAGTCTTGAAACTAGGATGAATCTGCCGCGACAGAACAAAAAATTTTCCTTTGGAGGAGCTACTTCTAGTATTTTTAAGCTTTAATCATGAAAGTTTCTAAAACTTTTGGAAAATTTGAATTTTTTTTAGTTTTTAAAAATAAAAAACATAAATTTTTAAGACTTGTACAGGCGATTTCCCTACCCAATGCCCATTAGTTCCATCCTTGATGATGTGGGAACTCAAAAAATTTTAGTGAAATTTGCAATATCACGTTCACTTGTTTATATTTTTGTTTCCTTAACACCAACAAGCGATGCAAGTTATGCTCCTACACGCGTTGGTCAATTTTAGCGAAACACCATTTTTGTTCCCCCTTATGGTCCCTTTGATGTAAAAATATGAATTATTATTGGCTGTAAGGGCTCCATCTAATAATTAGATGGTTGATATTCTACTTTATTATAGCATTAAGTGTTTTTTTTTTCATTGTAAGTAGGAAAGGTCGAGTCGAAATCTTTCACTTACATTCTCTTCTCGAAAACCACCTAACCCAATCCAATCCTCCCTCCTTTCATAGCATTAAATTGCAGGAGGCTGTAGCATGAAAATTTGTGAAGCTTTCTAATGCTTCGTGATGAAATTACTGTCACCTAAATTTTGTGGTAATGTAGTAAATTTTTACAAAAAAAAAAATTCTAAACATTATGCTATACGTTTCAACTATAAATGAAGTGGTTTTTGGTAAACAAGGAATACAATCCACCAAAACAAAATAATTACTCATTAGAAGTAAATTATTATATATATTATCCTCAATATATAAGTTACTCTATGGAAAAAAAAAACAGGTATGCCACTTATAACATTATTTTGATTTCACCTTTAATTAGGGAATCTTGTTTGGGAGATTAATAATGGCATGTACGGAGTATATGGCAAGCATGAATTTACGATGTTATTTGCTAAATCAAAATCTACGAATAATTGAAAGACTAGTCAAACCCACGTTTTCTAGACAAGCAAATGATTGCAGTGGGCTTAGACCACCACAGATCCTAGTTCAAGCTACAAGAGACACATAGTAAATTGTGGAGAGAAAAGGTTAGATAGAAAAGGAAGCGAAAAAATTGTCTAGATTGATCAGTTTAGAAGACGAGAACATTCAAAAGGAAAGTAAAGCAACCAAGTTTTCGAGTTTTCACCTGAGCTGAGTTAGATGAGATTGTAAATCTGTCAGGAAAACTTATGTTTTTTGCTTGAAGAGGGTATAAATTCAGGATTTAAGTAGACATAATGATTGAGATAATTACTGACATTTATATATCAGCTTATTTTGACATGCTAATTTTCTTGAGATTAACTAAATCGATTTTTTCCCCTTCTTAGTGTCCCAAAACAAAAGATTACTTTCAGAGGTGAGTTCTAGTAATTGTCACTTAATGCCAATTTTTTTTTTGTCAATACAAGGGTATCCCAGTTTACGCTGGACTAATCCTCCTGCGGGCATGCACCTCGCCCCAAGGATACACAACTGGTAGAAGGGGACTCAAACACACGATCATTAGGTTCATAACTACTAGCCTACGATCATCCAAGCCAACCCCTGGGCTGTCACTTAAAGCCATTTGAAAGACTAAAGTTCCACATAAATGAAACGATCATGAGTAAACATATTTTAAATTTGAGAATTTTGCAGTAATAATTTCTCTAAAGCTACCTCATCTAGACAAAACATTTCCCCTTGGACAATTAAATTTCTAATTTGTGAGGAAGAGATCCCAGGGATATCACTGTTACATACTTATCCTAGACTGATTTCAATCATGCCCTTGTGACTTAGTTTTGGATTCTGCTCAGCTTATTTCACTATTCACAGTCTATTTTTTGAGCATGGATAGTCAGTGGAGCAAATTATCTGAATAATCACTGAACTTTTTGAATAGCAAAGTTTTAGCCATTTAATTTTTAAAAGTTTGTATTTACTTACCTACTAAACTATCAAATATATAAATTTTAGACTATTTTGTCTATTTTCACCTTTTAAATCTATCAGATCTAAAGACCGGACGTGTCACCAGACATAATCAAATATGGCAGACTTAACATTGAAAAACAGACAAAATGGTTTAAAATTTATACTTTTAATAGTTAGTAGGTAAATATACACTCTTAAAAATTGAGTGGCCAAAATTATATTATTTAAAAGGTTCAATGGCTATCCGGATAATTTGTTATAGTCAGTTTATGTGGTAGTGTGTCAATTGGTTTATTCTGTCGCTCTTTTCTTGTATTGATTGAGGGATACCCTCCGGTTGTGCATGCTACATTTTTCATATCAACCAAAAAAAAGAAGAAGAAGTAGAAGAAGAGCTCCACAATGCTCGTTATAATTGCCAAGCAGGCTTGTTCGGTTAATCCACTCCAGGACAACCATTAATGAGTATCAACTGAGCTCTAATTATGAAGCTCTAAGGCAATACAAAGCCGGCGACAATCTCAGGCTTCTGTCCAAATACTTTTCTGGACCGAAATACGTGTAATGCGTACATTTGCAACCTGCTGAAAGGAAAAGCCAAGGACCTAATACTAAAGTGAGTAACATTGAAAGAGAAAGTATTCCAAAGGATGATTATTTAACTTATTTGAGCTCTATACAAATGCTGCAATAAGACTAAAAAATATGTGAATTATGTTAATTGGATAACACTTTGGAACAAAAAAAAAAAATTATGTTGAGGAGGAGTAGAGTACTATATAACTGCAGCAAATGATATTTAAAATGAACACAACTTCCTCCAATCTCCAATCCATCTTCCAGCTAGCGATGGCATTCTCACAATTAACCATTTCCATCTTTGTAATTCTGTCTGTTGCCCTTTTCGTGCAAATGGGGGCGGGAGACGATCCTCTCAAGCGTATTGGAGCTGACTGCAGAAATTCTAACCACTTTCCTGCCAGGAGTAAATACCACAAGAACTTGAGCATTCTCTTGAATGATCTTCAGAATAAAACTCCTGATACAGGGTTCGCTCTTGAATTCGTGGGCGAGCCGAAAACTGGTCGCGGGGTATACGGCCGATCTTTCTGTCGTGGTGATATTTCAAGAACAGAATGCAAAGCCTGTGTTGGGGCTGTAATTGCAAGGATTCTCGAAAAGTGTCCATTAAAGAAAGGCGCGGTTGGTCTCTCTGAAATTTGTTCGCTGATTTACTCGCACAGAGATATCTTCCACAAATACATAGTTGACACGTACTACATTTCTAGAGGTCGGAATATAAGCATCTCCGCACCAGTAGAAACTATAACCAAGTTTGTGAACAATCTAACAGATAAGGCTACTGCAACCAAAACGTTCTTTGCTACAGGAGACGTTAAGCTTGCAGATGAATCAGGGAATACAATCTATGGACTGGTTCAGTGTGCCTTGGACCTTTCTCCAGCTGATTGTGAGAGTTGCATTGCTGGGATGTTGGAACGGATCCCTGATTTTACTCCCAGGGGAGGTCGATTCGTCAGTGCAGCTTGCACTTTGCAGTACGAGTTTTATCAGTTCTTCATTGCTTAAAAAGCAAATTAGGCGACTATGCTTCTTAATAAAACGCCGAATGTAACGCACAATTAAGGTGCTATAAGCAGTAGCACTTGTGGGTTGTGGCCAATTTACATATCTCTAAGACCATTTACTCTCTTTCTTTTTTGAATAGTAGAGAGGAGGCATAAGATTTAAGATGCGGAAAGAGGGAAGCTAATGTTTGCTTGATGCTATATGTTGTGTTCCAAGTTTCGAGTACAATGAAAAATATCAGATACTTGTTAATCTGAGCTTTCTTATGGAATTAGCTTCTAGTTTCCTTTTTTTTTTTCAAAAAAAAAAAAACTTCTATATTCTAAAATGGTTCCTGAAACTACATTTACAAGCAATGCAGGTTTTGCTCCTACATGTGCTGTGCTGGTCAAATCTTAAAAACTACTTAAGCTGTACAAGAAAAGTCCATTTCTCAGTTGGATTGAATTGTCCTGGTTGTGGTTGTTTAATTTAAGTCATTTGGCTGTACGGTCTCACTTCCAAGTTAGGCTTTTAGCAATCTAATTTTCCCTTAGGCAATTAGATTTGTAATTAGTGATATACATCCTAGCAAATACAGGCGCGGTGAGTGCATATATGCCGTGGAAGAATCAGAGATTGAGAATTAATGTAGTTAACAATGTGCCTATAGCCTTTGAAAATTTGAAGTTAACATTTTGAGGTGGCAAAATGTAATTTTCTCCACTACATATCCTAATTTTTTTATTTTTCAAAAAAAAAAAATTGTAAATTTCAAAATCTTTGGAAGGAAGGTGGCCTAACCTTCATTTGTTAAGAAACCTATATATTCCTGTCAAGATTGCAGTGGGAGAGCTTATACCTCACAATTTGTAATGTTACCAAGATTTGAACAACGACAATCTAAATCGTGCCTTGCCCGAGCCTGTTATGCTTCCCATTGAAAGGTTTGCTTATCCGGACTCCTTTGGGGTCATGCAGGTGTTCGCATCTTGTTCTTCACATGTAGCGGAGGGGTTATCCTCTGGACCAGCCCTTGTAATTGGACCGGGCCACAATTTTTCTGCGTTCAAAAAAAATTTTTTTTTTCTAGCTAGGCTGCTGGGCAATAAATTTAAACTCTGTTTGATAACAGAATTCAGCACTTAAACTTAATAAATTAAGATTTTAATATGTTTAGACGCGTTTGATAAGCAAAAATTGAATATTTGAAT